AAAGTGCACAAGCTTCAAACTTCAGCGTTGGCTGCGATTTTGACGCTGAAATCGCGTTCGGTGTGAACGCAGCATTAGTATTTTCGACTGCAGACATATCCATTAGACAGAGTCAGTATGTTTCTATCATTGTGATGTTCTTCCACAGGACTTGTTGACATTCCAAAGTCTGACGTAAAAGGTACCGCCCCCGGGGGCGTGGCTAAAATAWTAGGTATACGTACACGTGACTTTAAGAGTGACTCGTTCTTTCGGATTGAGCAGCAACAGCTGCTGCTGAGGGTTTGTTTTTGTTTTGATGAGACTCAAGGCCTAAAACTCACAGCTCCTGGCTGGAGCAGACTGAACTGAGTCCTTTAATAAAGATTTTTAGAAACGAATCATCTTGTTTTCTGCAAACGTATTCTGACTTATGACCAGGTTATGTTGAAAATAGCTGAAGTTATGGTCATTTTTTGGTCAAAGCTAGAAAAGCACTGTAAAATACCTTATATGTTGAACGATCTGTTAGCATTAGCAACATGTGTTGGGACAACTGCCAGTTACTACCACACCCTTTTTTAGCTTAATTTATTTAAAGTTTATTGAGTTCCACCTATGTCAGAGATTCTTAACCTATGGGCCATGAGCGCCACCTTGAGGGCCTCAAAAGAACAACAGTTATTAACTTTGGGCCGCAGAGGGCCGCGGGACTGCATTGATTTTGAATAAGGTGCAATACACTTTCTCACCACTAGTAGCAGTAGTGCGCCACTCAGATAGACTCCCACAGGGAATGGAAACCTATTTTAAATGAAAAGTAGAAGCAAAAATGAAGGCAACCTGTCAAAAAACACCAAAGTTTGTCTCTAATATGAAGTGCAGCTTCTGGTTTTACCATGTAATATTTTAAAAGTTCAAATCATTATCAAATATAGTTGCAGATACAACTATATTTTAATTTGCACTTTATCAAATTTATTTTTGTAGTTTATTTCTAAACATTTTGAATGTATTTTAAAGAAATAATTGTCACGGGCAGGTTACAATATAAAAAATATTTGTCATAATCATATCTTGTGATTATTTGACAGGAGTTTTACTTTTGAACTGTAAGTGTATTTAATTTATTTATAATGCAAATACAATACAAATTAAACCAAGATTTAGAATAATTTTCATTTTAAACCAAGATTTAGAATAATTATCATTTTGATCCATACATTGGTAATGTCTGACTGGGCCTCGAGTCATTTTAGGTTCAACAAATTGGGCCCCGAGGTCAAAAAGGTTAAGACACCCCTGGTCTATGTTCTGTTTTCTAAAAGATGCAAACAGCATCATCTCAGGCTGCAGCGGTGGGTGATGAATCCAGCTGCAGTACACGACATCATCACCCGTCTGCACAAACAGGCTCATTTGGACTCAACATAAATAATCCAGGTTCAGATTTCAGAGTGTTTTCATCTTACATATTTTATGTTCACTGTATTTCTGTTAGTCAGCTGATGACTAAATCATGACAGATGCATTAACGATGCCCCGCCGGTCCTCAGTGACATTCACAGATAAGGCAGTGTGTGTGTGTGTGTGTGTGTGTGTGTGTGTGATGATGATTGCATCCGAGACCTTTTAAACTGCCAGTAACCATGCGAGAGAGAAACAGTTTTTATCTGACTTGTAAAACTGGGTGTGGAGGAGAAGCGTGTGTGATCCAGGAGGAGGGAGAAGAAGAGGAGCTTTCTAATCGTGGGGTGTGGATGAATGAACGGGCGGCRTCTTCACCAACACAAGCTGCAGCTCCCATCTGCTGCCATCATTACCATTAAGAGGCTCTAATTTAAACTAATTGCTGCTGATGAGCGAGTAAACAAAGCGCAAACAGTTGGAGGAGTTTGTAAAGACGAAGGAGGCGGGAGGAGGACGTTTCCTGCTAGATGGAGTCAAAACTGAAGAGTTGAGGAAACTCCTGTGAGMCAGATCGTCTTCAACCACAGACTTAAACTCCAGTTATTTATTATTTTCTCTGAAATCTGACCTGTGTGGATGACTGATCATATACAAAAAGTGTTTATTCATAAATTAGTATTTATCCACTTTAGCCTAGAACAGGGGTTCTTATCCTTTTTGACCTCAGGGCCCAATTCATTGAACATAAATTGGCACGAGGCCCAGTCAGACATTACTAATGTATGGATCAAATGATAATTATTCTAAATCTTGGTTTAATTTTTATTGTATTTACATTATAACTAAATTAAAAACACTTACAGTTTAAAAGTAAAACTCCTGTCAAATAATCACAAGACATGATTAAGACAAACATTTTTATATTGTAACCTGCCCATAACAGTTATTTGAACAAATACAAAAGTCAAAGAGACCACTTATCAGCTTATCAGCACAAAATTATATATATATTTTTAACATAAATAACAAAAATAGAAAATTCAATAAATAAAATTGTGGGCATAAAATAAATAAATTAAAAATG